TATGCATTTAAAATTTGAAATTAAGTCCCTCCCAATTATTCCGTCCGTTGGAATGGGAAAGTTAGATTCTACCAATTAAAATGTATATTCAAACCGACGTTCTTTTATTTCTAGTGTTGTTTAGATTTATTCCATTGTTTTCAATTCTTCTTTAGTTACTCCGTTTATTTTCGCCTTTGTGTTTGGTTTCACATGTTCCTGCATAAAATCTTGTGAATATTTGAGTAGAGAAATATCGGCTTCTGTGTCTATGTTAAATGTATTTGTCTGTCCTAGGATTCCTGTTTTTATTTGTACAAAATTTGTTAAGTTTAATTTAAACTTGTAAATGTAACATTCCACTTTTAACTGTGTATTTCTGTTATCTTAATCATCCAAAACCCCAACTGCAGGTTTTCCGGTTTCTCTTGGCTATGTCCTCCTCTCTGGTTTCCTCTATATGCCTGGTTGCTGTATTGTCTACACCCTCTGTGTGTATAGTTCCATTGGTGTCCATTTGTTTAGTTCTGTTGTTCAAAGGTAGGGCTTCTTTCCTTGTGATATTTGTTGTGATATCCTCTTTTATACTGGTGCTGTCCTCTATCAGCTTCGTAATTTGTCATATAATTTAACATTCTTCCGTGTGTGCTATCTTTTGTCGCGTCAATCGATAAAAGTTTGGACATTACTTCGTGCGTGGTTGTAAAGTTACATGCTTCTTATATTAATTTAGCTTTTCCTGTGTTGACGTTGCGTTTCATTGTTGCAACTCAAGTTTCCGTTGTGTATTTTTGTATGTATGTTTTTATTTGTATGTATGTTCTGCTAATTCTTCAACTTTAGATGCATAGACCGCTGCATCTTTATGTCCTTGTCTGTTTTTTGCCAATTTAGCTATTACCGTCTTCGGATTGTCTCCTCTTAGTTCTCTCTTCCGTTCCGCTGCTATTCTTCAGATTGCATCCTCTGTAGTTATGAGGTTTTTGTCCTTATTGGTTAATTTTGTTTTGATTGTTGTTATCGCTGTTTTCTTGTGCACTATCGCTATTTTCTCAAGGAGTTGTAATGCATCTAAAAATGACTTGCAGTTTACCTGCGCTTCCATCAAACTCACTAGACAACACCTTGAGTAACCAAGAGTAACACTTATTTTTTGCTCTGTGTCGCTTGTTTCGTCTTTTAAATCCTTGTCACTTTGTTCCTCTTTTATTTCCTAAGAAGACAGGGAAGAAAAAAGTCAATTGATTGACAACACGGAGGATGCGGCACAGTGAGCGAAAATGCTGATCCCAAACATAAAAGATTGGGTGAACTGAGGCCACAGGAGATTGGATTATTTTCTGATGCAGGTGCTTACAGGACACGGGTGTTTTAGGGTCTACCTCTCTAGGTTCGGAAAGGCTAACACAGATGAATGCCTATACTGTGGACACTCGGACACTGTGACACATACGATGTTAGGTTGCAACAGATGAATAGTGAAAAGGAACAGAATGGCAAAAGAGACAGTTATGAATTTTGTTACAGTAAGAAAAATGAACATCAGGCAGCGGCGAAGGAAAGCATCCGACAGTACAGAATGAAAGAACATTGCTAAGCAGGCCAAGACTCACCAAAGGTTGAAGTGCCTTTAGAAGAAGAAGAAGAGAAACGAATAAGAGAATGATTGAAAATAAAACAGGTTGCACTAGGGCACATAACTACATATATCCGTGCAGTGATCAAGAAAAAAGAAGAGGAAAAAAGACAGCTGAACCAACGGCAAAGATAAGAAAGAAAGATGCTAGAAAAGTGGGCCAGACTGTATGAGTTAGACTGCGTCAGACTGTGGGAAAATAATGCTGTAATGTCTGGGAGTAATGCTGTACTAGCAGCGATGAGGGTCTGAAGTGATGCCGACCATACAGCGGCCATTTTGCTTCCGGATCGCTGGATCACAGAGGAGGGTCTGGTTTAGCAAGTAGGCATTCGGCGTAGACTTGGCGACGAGAGGGTATTTTAAAGTACCTCAGGAACTATCGCCAGGAGTACGAAGAACGAATCCTTCACTAAGTCCAATCAGGCGGCGTCCTGAAGTGAGATATCTTTTAAAGATTCCAGACCTCATCTCTATAAAGACGAAACAAAGAAAAGTATACTAAATGTAGAGAAGAAATTAAGTTTCGTAACTTTACAATTCACAAAAAAAAAGGAGATAATAGATTTAAGAGTTACCACACGCATATATCCAGAATAGTTTAAAAATGGCATATCTAATATGAAGTCTTTTGTCAGACGATAGACAAATCTTTTTTGAAAACAGATAATGAGAGCCTATCAAGGAAACTTGATAATAATTAATCCTAGCAAAACAAACTGTGAAACGTAACAAACATACCTGGAATATTATTTAGGTAGGGTGAAAAGGACGATAAGGCATACATTCGTATTTATGAAGAGAAGTACAAAACCGTTAATTAATACAAAGCATTAAACCAAAACAAATACCAGATGCGCTTGGAAATTAGTTTGAAATCTTCGCAACAATCCCGCCGCTCCCGCACCTAATCTAACAAAAGTCACACTCGATCAGATAGCCCATCGTCTGCTGACAAATGGTAAGATGACATCAAGAAAGAACAAAGTAAGAGTAACACAAAACATCGATAAAGAAGAGGATGTTCTAGGTACTTCCTTTTGCCTGGAGGAGATCACAGGTGCAATCCACCAAATGAAAGATAATAAAGCGGCTGGCCTAGACGATATACGAACAGAACAAATAAAGCACTTTGGACCAAAAACCCTAGAGTGGCTCGTAAAAATGATGAACTGTTGCGTCCGTACATTCCAAATCCCCAAAATCTGGAGGAAAGCTAGAGTGGTGGCCCTCTTAAAACCAGGAAAGGATCCGGCGGATACAAAGAGTTTTAGACCTGTCTCTCTTTTGTGTCACCTTTTCAAGGCGTTCGAAAGAATGATACTGAACCGGATCGCTGAATCTGTGGACACTAAAATTATTCCTGAACAAGCAGGTTTAGACCCGGAAAATGCTGCTGCAGTCAAACTCTTAATCTCACCCAACATATTGAAGATGGGTTTGAACGGAAAGAAATAACAGGAGTAGCGTTCATAGACCTGACTGCCGCCTATGACACAGTTAACCATCAACGGCTGCTGGTAAAACTCTACGAAATTACAAAGGATTTCCGACTAACAAGGTTAATGAAATGTCTTCTCCAGAATAGACGCTTCTACGTAACGCTCCAGTCCAAGAACAGTCGATGGAGGGATCAAAAAAATGGACTCCCACAGGGAAGTGTCCTCGCGCCATTGCTATACAACATTTACACCAACGACCAACCCAAAAACCAACAAACAAGACAGTTTATTTACGCCGATGATACAGCTGTGGCAGCTCAGGAAGTACTTTCAATGAAGTCGAAGTAAAACTGGCAGATGCCCTAGAAGACTTAGCACTATACTATGACGAAAACCATCTGAAACCCAATCCTACAAAAACCCAGGTGTGTGCTTTCCACCTTAGAAACAAGCATGCCAGAAGGACACTGGAGGTGGAATGGCGTGGTCAGATGCTGGAACACAATGAGACGCCAAAATACCTCGGCGTACGTCTGGATAGAACTCTGTCTTATCGATATCACTGTCAAGATATCAAGAAAAAAGTAAGCGCCAGAAATAATATCATCCGCAAACTACAAACACAAAATGGGGAGCACAACCACACACTCTCCGTACCTCTGCCTTAGCATTATGTTTTTCTGCCGCCGAGTTTGGAGCACCAGTGTGGGAAAACTCTGCTCACGCTAAAAACGTCGATGTTGCGTTAAATGAAACGGTTCGTATAATATCTGGTTGCCTGAAACCGACACCTATCGAAGAGGTCTACCCTATAGTTGGAATCGCTCCACCTGCTATTAGAAGACAGGTCACGTCAGAGATAGAACGAAAGAAGCAGGAGACGGATCGAAGACACCCCTTGTATGACCACCAAGTTCAGCCAAGTAGATTAAGATCTCGGAAAAGTTTTCTGAAAATATCACGATCCCTTCCCGAAGAGCCAAAGACGCGCCGAATACACCTATGGCAAGCGTCAAGTACAACACATTTTGCTACCTCAGAGGAAATGGCTGCTGGACACAATTTGCCGTATCCCACATGGAAAGCGCTAAACAGACTAAGAACTGGAGTTTCACGTTATGCTAGTAACCTGAAGAAATGGGGATACCAGGAGAACGACACCTGCGACTGTGGCGCGGTTCAGAATAATCACCATCTACTATCATGCACAGAGATGAGAGACCTGCAAGAAGACCTATTCTTAGTGAATGACAGGGCCATCTATGTGGCATTGGAAACACAAAATTTAAAGCTGTTGGTGTTCCGGACACGGAAAGTAAGTAAAGGTTAAACCAAACTATCAAGTAAGACCAGATCACAAGTAGAGAGTTATATTGTTTCTATTTTAATAAAAAAAATACTTTAGATATAATTTAAGACAATATTAAGAAGATATATAAGAACATATACATGTAAAATAAGAGATTTATGCAATTAAAACATACTTATACAATTTATATAAAACGTGGCAAAAATAGGGTTATTCAGATGTTTATGTGTTTATAGAAGGACTATCTACGGAAATAAAAGCGCTCTTCCGTAAAGAAATTAGAGTACACATTATTCATATAAATAATGCAGAAGACTCTTTGAATGCTATTTGACCAATATTTGAGTCAGTTAACATCGGTAATTTTCACGAAGATAGAAATACTGATAGTTTTAAAAAATAATTTTAGGAAATTATAAAGTTAATTCCAACGGATTCCGACGAAGTACAAATTACTTAGAAGAAAGCTAACTAATTTGCCTCTTAATACCAAATAAAGTGTAAATAAATTACTATAGTACCTACCTAAAGATTGTAATGATTTGCACGCCACTAACCAGATAAACTAGATAGTTTCATCAGAAGTAAAATTTTCTAAAAGACAAAATACAAATTTTAAATAAAGCTTACTTACTATCTATTAAAAATTTATAATCCCCTCTAATACCTCGACCTGGGTAAGTAATAGTAAAGTTCGCAATATAGTCGAAAGCGGCATTTTTCTTATAGTTGGCAATTATCATAATTTTCTGACTGGCATCTCTGTTCAAATCCCAATCCATTTTAATTTCTATGGTTTTGTCATTAGCTTTATTGTTTACGTATGCCGAAAATACAATGTCTCGTAACCTGAAACAAGAAAATAGACACAATTTAATAAAATCTAAATTTAATCACATGACGGAATTGATACTACTATTATAATAAAAGAAACTGTTAGACATCAGGTAGAAATAATATGTAAAACAAGAATGTTTCCAAGGTACATTAATAATTATTAAAACTTGTTAAGGTTATTGTTACTGTTTTGTAGGTACTCTCCACTAAAAGACTTAAAAAAAGATCATTGATTCGAGGTTAAGTTTCTTCAGAATTTTTAAACCGACATGGCAAAAAAATTATAACTTGTGCTGATTTTAGTTCCAAGCATCGGATTGGAGCTCTGGGTTAGTAACAACTGAAATACTTTCAACAGATAAACCGATATATTGGCCTTATTACCTCAACAAAATCAAATATTCCGCTGCATTTTTTTCCATATTTGGAAGGCTGCTTGGCGACAACAAATATTTTTGTTAGGTATATGAATATTAGGGGAGCATGGCACATGTACTTCGACTCTTTTCCAGTTCATCTCATAGTAAGCAAGGCAGTTATTAAAAGCAGTTACCTTCTAAACTAAACTGTGTTAATGCACAAACACATTGGACAATTCAGTTTTACTTAGACAAAACAATTCGTTTTTCCGTCTCGTTAAAAACTAAAAATAAACTTGCTAAAGCAACGAAATCTTTTGTTCAACAAATTCAGCAAGCTGCGTAAAATAACTTCCCTCAACTGATCACTCAACAGCTTAAAAGAGGTATTATAAAAATATAAAGACTACAACACAGATAATTCCCTCTATAGAGCCACCTAAAGAGATTCATCTAGGAAAATTCTCTATTCTTCTTCTTGTTCTTTTTTTGGGCTATGTCCTAGACAATTTACCCAGTTTACTTGGGGGTAGACACTTTTTGTCTTGTTTCAGCAATCAGTGTCCACCTACACTTATATTCTTCCTTTGTTTGTTTTGGATTATTCTACATGTATACTTGTGTTGGTATTTTTCTTCTTTATATTCTTCACAGGCTAAAATTTTAGTAAGAACACAACAAAGGTATAAACTTTTCTCGCTCGGGGGTAGCCTCCAAGCTTTGCACACACCAGAAATGCTACCGACGGATAAAGTAGAAGCACCCAGGACTGAAAGAAGGAAGATCATAGTCTACAATTTAATATTGCAGGTAGAAATAAAGTTGCATAAGGTGTTTATTGTATTTTCATTAATATTTGTGAGGATTGTGCAAATATTTATGGGAGTGGGAAGTTTAGTTTTAGCTAATTCGGCATACAAGTCGAAATGTGGGTTTTGGTTTAAGCGACATTCTAATAAAATATGGTTTAAGCCTCCCACTTGGCCACATTCGCAATAAGGATCATCTTTGACTCCAATTCTAAATAGATGAAGAGGGGATGAGCAATGACCTGTTCTCATACGGATGATTGTAGTTAAATGTCTCCTACTGATATATGCGAATTTATTGAACCATGGTAGTGTGTGGATTCGGTTATTAATTTTGACATAGAATGAATTACTTGTGCCATATCCTTCGTACCATTCAGCTGCCCAGTTAGACCAAATCTCTCTTTTTAAGTAGGGTGTAAAATTTGAAAACTGTAGCTTGATATTCATGGGAATATTCAGGGAACGACCTATATTGGCAAGTTGGTCAGCCTTGTAGTTTCCAGTAATACCAGTGTGTCCTGGGATCCATGCTAGTAAGATTTTGATATTATTGTTCCTTGCTAGGATAATTCCTCTTTTCGTTAAATACGATATATGTTCTGTGTCTTTAGAAAACCCTGTTTTTTTTATTTTTTGTAGTGCACTTTTGGAGTCAGAAAAGATAATGGCTTCTGTGATATTTTGTTCTAGTATAATTTGGACTGCATGATTGATCGCGATTACCTCTGCTGTACATATTTGAGTATGACTGGGTAGTTTAGATGAAAATGAATAGTTTATGTCTGGGGAAAAAACTCCAAAACCCGCCTTTCCCATTGTGTCCGTTGAGCCGTCTGTAAAGAATTTTTTGTATGAATGGAATTTTTTAACTAAGTTCACAAAATTCATAAGGTTGAATTCATTTTTTGTAGTGTTTTCATTCAGAATTCCTAATGGTTGAAGTTGTAGTTCCAGTTCATACTCATGGCAAGGAAGAAGTTTGCTGGAATATAGGTTCTGCAAATAAGGTTGGATTTTTCTAAGAGTTGTTATCAATATGGGTTTTTCCTTATTTCTCCAGTATTTATTATCCATATTACAAAATGCTTCTAATTCAACGATTGATTGAATGACAGGGTTGTTTTTAACACTTAGGTTTTTTAGCAAAAATTTTGTTGTGAGCCATTCTCTTTTGTATTTTAATGGCAGTTCTCCAGATTCTGATAACAAGGCTTGGATTGGAGTTGACTTCATGCATCCTGTGATAATCCGGATACTTTGATAATGCATCTGATCTAGTTTCTTCAATATATTTTATATTTAGGGCATGTAGATGGGAATTGGCCCCCATAGTTAT